GGGGGGGGGGGGTCAGAGCGGAGAAGAAGGCCAACCCTTCTCTTTAAAAAGGAGGACGCCCTGCTGTCCACACGGTGTGTGTGTGTGGACAGCAGGGCGCAGTCTGACTGTGGAGCCAGCACGAGTACGGTTACTGCCTAAGGGTTACAGATGTTGCAGAGATTATGATTTAATGCCCGAAGCTGAAGGATGAGGAAATTATTACACAAATGAGGTCACGGTTTTTTTTTGGTAACCCGAAGGCAAGAGACTTATCACCCGTTGCACAAACAGATGCGGTCAATATTTGTTTCATAAGACCTTCATGAAAAGATAACGCACAGCGTATCGTTAATTCTCGATCACGAAAGTGTGTACTGGGCATTTCAACCGTAAGATTCACCTCCATTTTGTTTTATATTGACCAAGTGCACACACGTGCACAGATAGACACGTTGCACAACATGAAGCAAACGTAGGAAATATTATTTGGTTTATTCGTTAAAGTCACGTAGATAGAAAAAAACACTTGTATTGAACTAATTGGTAGGCAAGAAAAACAATCAGTGCATAAATATACTGTATCCACACATTCCTGTAGAGTACAAGGTCGCATATCCGACCGTTACGTCACATATCTGACCTGGTGGAGTACTTTCGTCAAAACAAAAGAACCACTTTTAAAAATTTGAATTCATCCTCATGGACACATGCGGGAGACCCGGAGGACAGATTCCAAATTTCAACGCATGATCACGAGACTCTGGGTTTGGGGATTTATGTCACCACGGAGCCCCATAAATATGCATTTTTAAAAAATCACCTAATTTTCTCAGGCCAAATACAGGGTGAGGCGGCAGACATTTTATACATGTCAACATTGTAGACTTATTCACGATTGGCAAAAAATCACAATAATTTTTTCATTTTCATTTTTGTAATCACTCAGAACGTATATGTAATATGGGATAGTCTAATGCCATGTATGGTGATTGTACAAACTGCTACAGTTGCTGTATCATCGTATGATGTATTCCACAGACTATACGAAGTAATGTAGTACATGACCAGTAGACGTTTTGGACTTCCTATCCCAAAGGCATTTAGCACGTAAAAGCACATACATATACACGCATGTACAATCTTTACAAAAACACTAATTTTGATCGTGTGCAAGTTTGTGCTTTTGTCGGTGTCATTTGCCGACCTGCTCCTACTCTACATTTGTGAAAAAAGAGCTTCAGAGCTCATCGTATTCCTCCTTCAATCTAAATAAAGATTATGATTCTGCGCGTAAGCTGATCAATCGATCGATGGGATATTAAAATGGCTTAGTGTTTTTCAGAAATGACTTTGCAAGGACGTAAGCATTCCTGTAAGGGTCCGCGTGTCTCTGTGAAGCATTATTGCTGGTTGCGTGGCACCTGGGAAACGGGGTTAAAATGCCCTTGACTTTCAGTCTCCTTCGGCTTCTTACACCGATGGCACGTGGCAAAGCAAGGTAACTGCGGCCTTGTATTTGTACGACTACGTTCATTCTTACTATACATACAGTACAACATAAAAATATTCAAGATAGCCCCTGGGCATAACAGATGAAAAAATTGCAAGCGTAAATGCTATCCAGTCACTATAATCCAGCGGCCTCACATGACAAGTCACGACCTCTGCCACCGAAATGGAGCGGCACAAGGGTTATTTCTTCACTGGTCACGTGATGCTGTTGACGCTCCATTAATAGTTGTGTTCGCCTTCATATCCCAGGTGTGTTCGCGCGGTGGGTCGCTCCTGAACTTCCAACAATGCTGCCTGCTGTGGAAGATCACCAGAATGGACAAACGTGTTGGGAGGAACCTGTGAAATCTGGGCTGCAATTGCCCACTTCTGTTTAACTCAAGGAGAATCTTGACCGTGCCCCTTTTTAAGACACGCTTTGATTTTCTGTACGCACACATTCATTCCGGTATGTATGTACGTATGCCGTGTGTACATCTTTTATATCTACGTATTTAATTCACCACCGCTCAGTTGTCACAATCTCAGCTAGAGACGTCTCACCTGGGAAGGGAGTCCGTCATTCTTTGTGTCGGGTGCAGTCTATTCCTCATTCGTGGTCGCGTGGATGGTGAGATTAACGTGACGGCCCCGGCAATGTATTGTGAATACATTACAACACTTGGGGGGGGGGAGCATAATTAGTAAAATAAATAAGGAATCCAATCACAGTTTTAAACGGTAATGGATACTAACAAGTTTGGCTCCGTGCTTTCAATTCTTGGAAAAGAGTGCATTGGAAAAGCCGCTATAAATGTTGAGTTGGCCTGCAGCTGACCCAGATTTTCACGCGAGCAACCATTATTTTCAAGTCTGGCATCGACTGTCTTACATTATCGCACGCGGGGCTTTGTAAACTTTGTTTTCCCTGGCACGTGTTTCGATTCCAATGTGTACCTGGCACAGTGGCTGCCAGCAGCATTTTGATCGCGTAATTGTTGGTAAATTTATCAATGTTATTTTAAGGATCTGCTCGCACAGGTACAGGGTTTATGCATCGCCGTGCACTGAATGATATTTCCATAGCTATAACCATGGGTTGCAATGTTCCCGAAGGCCAAGGGTGTCAAGAAATGCTATAGCCACAAATCCCTTGGGGAAGGCTGATAGCCTGAGGGTCTGCATCTGGAGCTGTCTCACCCCGTGGGTTATTTTTCTGAGTGGATCAGTAAATTTGTCTTCATGGTCAGAACACTGGGAATGATGCGACTTTCCTTTTGACGCGTGGCAGAGAAGGCTCTTTCAAATCACTCAATTTGTTACAGTTTAACTAAACACATAGGCAGAGCAGCTGAGACCAGTGGATACACAGGGAGAAGGTAATGACATGTCATTAATAAAAAAATGTATATTTATTTTATATAAATATTTTAAATAAATAAATCCCTCGTTCTGCATCATCTGCGTTGATCGACGTATGTTTGTGCAGAGGTTGCTTTGTGGCTCAATGGGTTTATGTCCAAATAAATGTGCTGAGACTACACCAGCAATACCACATTTAAGGTATTAATGCAATTATTATTTGGTTTAACCAGAATTGAGGGTAAATGTATCTGGCCAGGCGGCACAGCGGGCTGCGAACTCACACTCTGGTCAAGAGTCAATTTAGCCAATCAAATATTCAAGCCCCAACACAAAAATGTGGAATTTCCATGAATTGGCCCCGTGGTCACCAACAGAGATAACCGACCGCTCCACCGCGCTCCTCTGAGGCGCGGGACTCTTTGACTTCTGAATGCATGGGCCCTGCACAAAATCAATGGCTATAAAAAGGAATGCTTTTTAAAACTGCTGTTTTTAAATTGGTTACATTCTACTCCCAGAATGCCAGAATGTTCAGAGAATGCACAGGGACAGAGTGAAATTATTGCTTCTGCAGCTAAAGGTGTGGACTCTGAACACCTAAATGAAATATGCTGTTTGTCACCCTATGCCCAGGCTGTAGATGTGGGCACAAAATTATATTTACTCGTCTAGGAACGCTCACATGCAGACATGCAAACTGGACATGTGCCTGGGGTGATCAGTTCAGTGAGTGACGTGCGATATATATTTATATCCTAGAATTTGGCCTGCATACTGCATAAGAAAAAGCAAATTACTGAAAAATTTAATGTGCATTATAAATGTAACCAACCACAACCAAAAGACATTCTTGGCAGGGAGGTATGCAGTGTGTCCGCAACATTACATGCTAATCTGCTCATTTGTTAGCAGCGTCATTTAAATTTGCTTTATATAACCTGCTCACTACCTTACACCCCAACCCCGCCCCCCTAAAAAAACACAATACATGCAATACTTTAGTTGAATCTACAAGCGTGCAATTTACCAAACGGTTTATATTACCAGAGGCGGAGCTGAATTGAAGAGTCGTCAACGTTTCATCCGACCGAGTAACTCCTCTTGTCAGGAATATGCAGGTTAGCATTTCGAGCAAGAGCGCAGACGCTGTCTCTGAAGGGGGTTGACCGTCAAAAGTCGTCCTCCCCTTCGCTGGATGTTGCCACGGGATCTAATTTACTCCACACTGCATGCCCATCATCCCGCATTCTGGACGGCAGCTCATTTTCCATCAATAGAAGCATATTAACACTTCATTTCCATATTAAAAAGCTGCAGCCCCGGTGAGTGTGGTTTTTTTTGTGCCATTGGTTGGGGCGGGCTTACGATAGAGAGAGAGAGAGGGGACGCTTAGAGAACGGGGAGTGCGAGGAGATGCCACGGACGAAAAGAAGCAGCGCTTGGGGAGGTGGGGTGGGTGGTTGGGTTTGGGAGAGGGAGCCTGCGTGAGCGAGTGGAGCATTAATCTACCATCTGCTGTGGGCTGTCACGGCCGGGGCAGTCAGGAGGAGCCACTCCGCACACTTGTCATCCATCACCGGCCAGAGTTAATGAAATGAAAGGGTACATTATGGGGCGACAATAGGGGAGAAGCGGCGGGGCTGGGGTTGCGGCGGCGGCGAAGCGGACGAATGCCGTGGATGCGGGGAGGCTAAGACAGTTGCCACGGGCATAATGAGGCTTTCAGCCGCGTACCCACACGACGGGCATGAGGTCAGGCAGCCTGCCTCCTGCTGATTGCCCCCAAACTGTGGCACGGGAAGAAAAAAAACACCCCAGTGAAATGTGCCAATGGTAAAGACAGCATCGAGCCAGGCTCTCTGTCATGGCACAAACATCATTCATTATTTATAATATAAAAATTCACCACTCTCGCCTTCATGATTTTAATACGGTTATTCGTGTATATATTAAACTTTCGATTACACACAAAACGCAGGATTTCGAAGAATTCATCAAAGGTGTATCTTGTTTTTGTTTCAGCAGAAATCACAACGAATGGCCCTCGAGTCGTTATACGCCTTCTCCCTTGTCCGATATGGCTATCGATTTTCGGCTGATTGTCGCTCAAAATATTGTCCTGTGGTTCTGTTCATCGCTCTCATTTCTCTCTCCTCTCCCAGCCCATGCCGCCGCCACTGGAGCCTCAACATCCGCTGCATCCTTGACAAGCACGCGGAGCACACTCGCTTCACTCCAATCCAGCTGAAGTCTGCCGACCTTACTCTAAGAAGTCAGCCTTCAACTACCAAGTGCATATTTTGCATGAAGCTCTATTTCTCCTGTCTTTCATGAAGCTGGCATACAGACCCCCCCTCCCTCCCCGTCTACCCCTCTTGTCCCCCATCCCTTCTCTCTTTGCTGCCATCTCATCCAAGCATAACTCTCCTCTGGGGATGCCCCAGACATCTGTGCTTGTAAAGCTGCTCATTTAAATTGAGTTTCCAGCGGAAATGCGCAGCGTCTGTGCAATGAAGCTGCCTACTTTACTTAACCCCGAATACGGTTGCAAAAAAAATGACTTTGTATTCTTTACTTTAATATAAGGCGACATTTATAGATATCTTCAACATTTAAATTTCCGTTGCGCTGAACTGAACGTATTGTATTTAATCCGGTCAATGCGCACTGAGAATGGCAATGTGTGTACGAAATATAGGTTACTGCAGTTGTGTATGTAGTATGACATTATTTTAATTGCGGGTGATTTGAAATTGTCGGATTTTGGGATGATAATTGTACGCAATTTTTTTTTATATTGCCGACATTTGTTAGACGTCCGCTTTACGTGCAGGCGGTACCACTGTTTAATTCCCCGATATCCGTGCAATAACAGGCGCAAAGCTATCCACGCCACCCAAACTGTAGAGGAGTAGAGGGAGAGAGAATGTGTGCTGTGTGTGCATTTTGACCACCAGAACACACTGCCACAAAAGCATCTCCGAGCAATTTTACCCACACGTGTCTACATGTGCTTTGCAGCAGTGTGGATAGTGCAGCTTGCTTTTTTGGGTGTTGCTGTTATTCTGCAATGTTTTCCTTAAAGCACCCACGCTCTCAATAACGACAAAAATGTCCTATTTAAAATGTCCTATTAAAATGTTCAAAGGGATACGGTTGTTGCTTCGCAGCTTCTGCATCTCATTGTATTTCCATTCGTTAAAATAACACATTGTAAATGATTACGGGGAGGGGTGTGTGATGCAAATAGGAGGCGATAAAAAGACAATTATTTATTTTCGGTAAAGGTCATTGCATAGAAGGCCGGTTTAGCATCATAAAAGGAGACAACTATATGGTTTACGACTGCCGGCCTAATTTTGCATGCATTCCATTTATATTGAGATCATTAATATTAAATACAGTGTGCATATAATACAACTGCCGCTCGTCATATGTCTCCGCGACGGCAAAACAAGAGCCACTTGAATCTAAAAAGGCTGGGATAACGTCGCCCGAGTACCAACACAGTGTCATGATGGCACACGCGTGTGTAGGAAGAGCGCTCCTCTGCACCACCGCGAACGCGATGCATCTATCGCACCGAATTAAAGTCAGGCGCTCGCATTCGAAAACTAAAAAATGATGTGCGAATTAAACATGCGCTCGCCTGCAAGTGGAATACAGCGATGTACAAGCAGGGTCGGTGGAACACCATTGCACGAGGCACCCAGCAATTATGATTTATTAACGGTACAGCACAGCAAGTAGGTTTATTACCAATTAGTAGGATCGCTCTTAGCGACCGAAATTGGTTCAACGAAACCGGTCGTTTAACGAGTATAGTAAATACACGTTCAAGGCTTAATTAGCTCGGATGGCATTGCAAGTTACCCCTTTTCGCCGACAAAACGTACTTTGTAATATTTAAACAATGGATATTAATACATACAGATATTAACAACATTATTAACACATTGTATTATAAAGAAACGTGGCTAATCAATGCATGAATTCATATTTACTGTACCTACAACAGCCCGTCATTGACAGGGGAATGGTCGGTAAGCGAACACATTGGGCTCTATGGAGGCACTACACTACTATACACTACACTATACACTACTATACACTACACTATACACTACTATACACTACATTATACACTACACTATACACTACACTATACACTACACTATACACTACACTATACACTACACTATACACTACAATATACACTACTATACACTACTATACACTACTATACACTACACATTGGGCTGTATGGAGGCCCGTCGTTAAGCGATTAGTCGTTAACAGGGGTGGCCGTGAACAGAGGTTCTCCTGCCAAATCTGAAGTCTAACTCCTTATATGAGTGGGTTTATCCAAATACTCAATGCTTAATCATCATCATCATCATTCCATTTTCAGTTCACTCACCAACATAAGCATTTCACCAGAGCATCCAATGCGTGTTTTACTAATGGTAAACACGATCCAACTAGACAATAAATGTTGATCACACTCAACTAGGTGGCTATAATAAATATAATCTTGATTTGAAGCTTTCGTGACTGCAGGAATCCATACTCTTTGGTTCTTTCGGTAAAGTCACGTAGGTAGAAAAATAAAATATTTTTTTTTCATTTTATTTCATTTTTCTACCTACGTGACTTTACCGAAAGAACCAAAGAGTATAATAATAATAATAACAATGCCAATTATCTATCCAGCAAAGCTTCAAAGAGCCGTGAGACTGTCCAGGAGAGGCGCCATAGGGATGCTGGGTAATGTCACGAACGAGCGCTTTGGCATATTGGAGGAAATCAGAGTTACCGGAGAATACCGTGTGCGTGAATGGCACGAGATGCACAGATATTGGAACTCACACCAAAATGCCTTTCAATGTTTGGACAAAGAAGGTAAAGGTACTGTCGTTGGATATCTAGACCATTATCGATGCACCCACTGCTGGAGTAATTCTTTAAACACTAATGTTTGGGTACACCGATTTCCTTTTTTAGCCATGCATGTGAATGCTGCCGTAGATTGCTCAATCAAGCAATGCCGTGACATAATCTTAGTTCTTTCGGTAAAGTCACGTAGGTAAACAATGAAATTAATAAAAATAAAAAAATAAAATCACGACGTTTCGGAGGCAACACAAGTCTCTGTCATCAGGTGGGACCGTCACAGCCATTTCATGTTTTACCTACGTGACTTTACCGAAAGAACTAAGAGTATGAATCCTTGCAGTCACGAAAGCTTCAAATCTAGAATTAATGCCGTGACACTCTTCACCATTGTGAGCCCTGAGCCGGTACTGAAAATTTCACATCCACACGACACGTGCCAGTCTATTCGTACGGCAACCGCTGTTCACTTTTCACTCAGTGGTACTTCATGTATCAACCCTGGAGGGATGCTGGGCTCCGCTGTCCACTAACAGAGCGATTTGAACTCGCAAACCGTCCAACCGCGACTCCTCTCGTTGGACGCGACAGTGCCGTGTGGACATTGTCGACATTGACGCTCTAAATCTCATTAAAAGAGCGTAGCGAAGAAAACGGTTATAGCCATTGTTTACAAGAAGAATGAGAGGGGGGTGAATAGTGAGTGGGCTCGCCCACGGAGCCAGCTTGCCTGGTATCCGCGGTTCAATGTCCATGCAACTTCTATGGGGAATTAAAAGCTGTGTTGCTGTGGTAAAGTGTACATTACATTTATTAGGAAGCCACTGGACCTGTACAATTATATATCCAGGTTGAAAACGAATTTCATTAGGACTGCTTTGTGTTTAGTTTGTTGTCCCCCACCCCTGCACCTCCAATTATCACAGTTGGCGGCGTACGGTGCGAAAGAAGTTAAACATACATATGTAGTGTACTAATTCAGAGACACTAGTAGGAGGCACTCTCTCTTGTTTATTCCGGCCTTCACAGCCATTGGGGATAACTACACACCGGGTCAAGACAGCCAACACGCTGCCAGACCCACAGCTTGAAGAGGGCTAAGACCGCAACGACGGCAACACGACGAGTTCCCCTCCAGATCGCAGCAGCCCCGACTGTGAGTCAGAGCTCGCCTTTTATTCTCCCCAGCGTGGCCAGGCTCCACCCTCGACCCCGCATCCCTCTGGATCCCCCAGAAGGCTCCGGGCCTCGCCCACAGGTCCAACTGGTAGAACGGGCTGCTACCTCCAATCCCATTGTCTACCAATCTCCCGGCGACACGCGCTACAGCGACTCAATCAATGCCACTACACATACATACATACAAACACCATGTGGCATAATTCATGAGGAAAGCTATTCGGTGCCCGAGTCAGAGTGCATATCCAATGCTATATTGTTATGGATTTTTATTTACATACAACATAAATGTGTATTTGTAGAGCATCTAAACGGAATATTATACACCTGAAAATGGGCTACCGGTTAAAATGGGGAGGTTACGACCGGATTACGAATGGGAGACGTGGAAGGGAGAGATGGGGCGAGAGGAGGAAGCACCATGACTAATAAATAATCTCTCACACATTTCTGGCAAGTTGGTTGGCAAGAGAGGCGATCGGCACATGCAGGTGGCCGTGCGTACATCTCAGTGCACGTGGTGTTGTGACATCGCACTCGACGTTACATCGCTGAGCAAAACACGGTTTTAATTTTCTCTTGGTCAACAAAAAAGTCCAGTTGATATCCTGCTCAAATGGGACATTGCTATTAGGCGAAGTGCATCTCGAGTTCACAGCGCTTAGGCAGTGGTGGGAATTCTAGGAATTGGTATCGATTCTAGGAATTCAATGGTGAATCGAGGGTAGAGATTGTAGGGATTGCCAAGTTCCATTGTGTGGTCGTATTGAAGAGGGAAAATTGGAGAGAAAATAAAACTTGCAAAGGAATGACCATTATCCTTCGTATGGTACAGCTATGGACTTTTAAATCTATATTGAAAACTAATTTCTTTAGAACTTATTTTTTTCATGAGAAATAAGAATAGGTTTTACTCTTTCTGGCAATAAAACATAATTATGAATGGGTGTTACTCTTTCTTTCTATAAAACAGGTGGTAAGATGTTCAAACACTAAATAGATACATTTTGAAAGGAATCAGGTCTGGATCAACCACTTGTGGTGAACATACGAAGAAACGTGCTCTGATAATTATATATTCATTGTCTTAAAAACTGATTGACCTACACCAGCATGTGTGTTTGCATGTTCACCACAAATACGGGTGGTTAATGCAGACATGATTCCTTGCAAAGGGCATCTATTCTGATGTTTTCCCCTTTTTTTCTGGCAACAAAACAGGTGTTAAGATGTTAAAACACCAAACTGAAACCTTTTACAAGGAATCATGTCTGCATTAACCATAAAGCTTGTGGTCAGAATGCAAACAAAAAAATACTCTGATAATATATGCATTGTCCTTGAAACTGATTGGTCCACACCAGAGACAGCTTTCTCTTGAGCCTCGTCTCA